GTGTATGATGGCCCAGAGCAAGAGGAGTACTTGACCTTCATCATCGATGACCCCCAGGAGACCTACAAGACACTGAAGCAGGTCATCGCCCAGGTCGGGGCCCTGGAGCAGGAGCACGCCCAGTACAAAAGGGACAAGTTCAAGAAGACCAAGTATGGGAGCCAGTGAGTATGGCCCCCGGGTGCGTGGAAAGTCCCGGCAAGGGCATGGGGGCTGGGGGAGAGACTGCAGGGAGCTCCCGGGGGAGGAGGGTGCTGCCTGCCCCAGAGCCGGTGTGCAGCGTGCGGACTGCGCAGGCTTCCCAGCTCCTTCAGAGCAGGGCTCGCCTCACTCGCCAGGCCTCTGGGCAGTGTCCTGGGAGCAGCACTCTCTCCCTTCTCCCCTCCTGCCTTCCCAACTCATTCACTTTCAGAATTAGGTTTTCCTGGGCCAGCAAACCGGCCCTTTCCCCCTCTCTTGAGGCCAGCTCTGGTGGACTGGCCCCCATCTTTGTCTTGTCCCTCCCTCTCTTCCTCCAGCCCCTCCTCCCCCCTCCCTTCTTCCTTCCCTTCCTCCCTCCGTTCCTGGCAGGTGTGGGTTTGCTCTGGGAAGGGGAGTGAAGGGCTCTGCAAGAGGTGCCTCCTTTGACCAGTTGCTCACAAGAGCCCGGCACCCAGCGAGCACCTCCCGGGGTCGTGATCCTTCTTTGCTCCTAGATGAGTCATCCTGGCCCCATAGACATTCAAAGCATATTCCAGATTCCCTTTACACCCCGCTGTCGAGAGAGCTGCGTAGACCTAAAAATGTTGTCTTTGATTACACGTGGTAAAGCCGAGGTTAAAACAGCCTGGAGCGCATCCTGCTTCCTGTGGCAGCAGCTGTGCAAGCGCTTGGGCAGCTCAGGACCGAGCGCCTGCGACCCTGGGGCCAGGCACTCAGCAGACAGCACCGTGCCCCTGTGGAGCGCAGGGTTCCCACACACGTGTGGGTGCATGGCACACGCTCTATGCACATGGTCATGTGTGCACATGAGACCTACACACTGTGACTAGGGTCCCAGTGGGTGCCTCCACAGGCGGCTTTGGGCTAAGTCTTCTTTTGCTTGTCTATATTTTTCATATTAATTACAAAGAATACACATCATATATATAGATAGAAAAAAGTCTCTTATTTTTTTTAATCCTCACCCGAGGATATTTTTCCATTGATTTTTAGAGAGAGTTGGAAGAGAGAGGGAAGGACAGAAAGAAATATGGGAGAGAAATACATCAATTGGTTGCCTCCTGTATGTGCCCCGACCAGAGCCCAGGGCAGGGAGGAGCCTGCAACCGAGGTATCTGCCCTAGGCCGGAATCGAACCCAGGACCCTTCAGTCTGCAGGCCGACGCTCTATCCACTGAGCCAAACCGGCCAGGGCTAGAAAAGAGACTCTTAAAAAGTGCAGATGAGCACGGGCGATGGAGGGCTGTACCTCATGTTCTCTTCTCCCCCATCTCCCCTTTGCAGGGAACACCCCATCGGAGATAAGAGTTTTCAAAGCTACATCAGGCAGCAGTCAGAGGTCTCCACCCATTCCATTTAAAGCCTGGAGGACGTCCTGCCCCAGGAGGGCGCTGTGAGCTGCACCAGGAACCCCATAGTCTTTGTGCAGGAGGGAGACCGACAAGAAGGCAGAGTGAGGAAGCCAAGGGATCCACATTCCTCGCTCGCATAGATGACAAGCGTCAAGCTCACGGGACGTCTGAGACTCTCCTGGGCTGCTCCCGGGGCTGCCACGCACTTTATTCACGCTGCTGGGCAGGTGCCCTGAGCTGGCCTTTCTGGACCGGGTGCGGGACGCGTGCGCCCTGCTGGAGTGCTTCCGTCTCCTGTGCACTGCTGCCTCACTGGCCTCTGCGGTGCCTGCCAGGAGCCTGCCTCCACGCAGCCGGAGGTTCAAGCATTATTCTTTTCCCAGGAGCCTGCTGTCCGGGTGCCGCGGGCAGGCGGCTTCTGGTTTCAGCTTTCGATGTTGATGATGTTCCCGGCTAGAGGGTCAGTTTTGTGGTCAGGTCGTGCAGAACTGCACGGAGGTCCCAGTTTGAGGATGCTCTTGATATTTTGGGGATACAGGGTTCTTCTGCAGAGAGTTCCGGGGCAGGGGGGGGGGGCTCCAGACTTCTCTCCCGGGGATCAGAGTCCCTCTCTGCTGTCTGCTGAGACAGCCCCCAGCCCACAATGCCCCTGGGCCGCTGAGAGGCAGAGCTGGTGTCCGCCAGGCCCCACTTCAAGCACCAGTTGTGTTGTGCTGTCAGTGGGGCTTAAAAGTAGAAGTTTGGGGAATATTTTAAAAATAGAAATGTGCATTATTTTCAAGCTGATTTTCTTAACGTTTTTAATTAGCTCTTTGATATGCAATAACTCGGATCATCCACACCTGGACTCATTGAAGGGGAGGGCGCCAGAGCAGGCGAAAAGGGAAGGGGAGCCAGTTACAGGTCCTCCACAGGAAACCCACAAGGGGAGAAATCCTCAACTTGAAAGGGAGGCACTCGGCTGTGCAGACGCCCTTTGGGCCCCGGGGTGGTATAGCGGGGTGGGGACTGCGTTCTGTTGGAGGGGTGGGGTTCAAACGCCAGGGGAGCTGTTTGCTGATTTTCCCCAGTCAGTCCTCACAGCTGCAGGGACCTCACAGCTGCAGGGTCCTCACAGCTGCAGGTGCCAGCTTTGGACAGCACTGTTCAAACTCACAGGACCACGTGCCCTCGTGCCAACCCCATTCTGTTTGCAAGTTCTGTCCTTCAGACTCCATCTAGATGCCAGATAATAACATCACTTGTCACAAAAAAGGGGGAGAAAAATCTTGCAAAAAATAAACGTTGGAACACAGAGCTATTAGGCTGCACCGAATTTCGATTTTTAACATGGATTTGTAACTGAATGTTTCCGTTTATAAGATACTAATGATTTGTGAAGTATTTTACCTTCCGATTAAAACAGACCTTTTATTCTTTCTGAGGACTGGCTTGGTTTCCCAGGGGTGCCCACGGATAACTGCACCCGTGGGAGGTGGGGGGATGGAGCTGGGCAGGTGGGGAAATGGATGATGCCCCTGTGATCACAGGTGAGGTCCTGGGTGGGGCTTCAGATGGAGCTGGAAGCCATGATGCTCTGGGATGGAAAGGGGTGGGGTTGGCACTCTGAGGCCATCGGAAGGTGTTCTGCTAGGACCCTCCAGTGGATGGAGAAGGTGTTACTGCCTGAGAACACTGGCTGCCAGCTCGAGGGCCAGCCGCCTGCCTCCCTCCTCCCAGGAGAGGAGGAGCAGCAGGCTCCAGGCCTCCGGTGCCAGGAGCAGAGGTGGAGTCCCTCCTGGAGGGGGAGAGGGAGGATCTGAGGGGGCCTCTAGGATGCCACCCCCCTCTGGGGAGAAGAATGCACATTCTCATTTCCTGATTCCTTTCTTTTCTCCATTTGGCTTTCATTCAATGGTGTTTTTTTTAAAATTCCAGCCTGGGTCAGCTCTTCTGAGAAGAATCAGCTGTTTCTGGGGGTGCTGTAGAAAGGGGAACTCCGGGGGGGGGGGTAGGGGGAGGGAGATAGGGGAACAGAAGGCCCTCCCCCAGGACCCCAGTGGCAGGTCACAGTTGGCTCTGTTTTCACCTGCTCTTTCTCCTGAAGGCACGAGCTGTCCCTCAGCGCCCACTGCTGTGACTTTCATCGGTGGCCTCCAAGGTCAGGTGCCACCGAGGAAGGTCTCGGGTAGGTGGGCACCACGTCTGTTCCCGCACTGGCACTTGGCTTGGCGACCGAGGCCTCCCCGTGAGCTAAGATGCCACAAGCAATTTGTTTGAGGCGATAGAGTACAGGTGGGATTAGGGAGCCACATCAGCTTCATTCTGAATAGTCATGGCACCCCAAGGGCAATCGGCTGGTTGTCCCCAAGTCTTGGGTGATTGAAGGAAGAAAAACCATGTGCTCGGTTAGGGTATCAGAAATGTTCTGTTAGGCTCTGTTATGGACTGATTGTGTCCCCCCAAAAATTCATGTGGCGAAGCCCTGACCCCCAGTGCCTCAGCCTATGACTGTATTTGGAGGTAGGGTCTTTAAAGGGGCAGTTAAAGTCCGGCCAGCGTGGCTCAGTGGTTGAATGTCAACCTATGAACCAGGAGGTCATGGTTTGATTCCCGGCCAGGGCACATGCCCGGGTTGTGGGCTCGATCCCTAGTGTGATGTGTGCCTGAGACAACCGACTAGTGATTCCCTCTCATCATCGATGTTTCTCTCTCCCCTCTCCCTTCCTCTGTGAAATCAATTAAAAAATACATTTAAAAATAAATAAAATTGGCTTTTAAATAAATTAAATCAATAAATGAGACGTTAAGGTTACGTGAAGTCATTAGTGTGGCCCCTAATCCCGTGCGACTGGGGTCCCTGTGAGAAGAGGCGATCAGGACACAGACACGCCGACGTGCCCAGAGGGACGACTATGTGAGGACGGGACAGCCATCTGCAGGCCCAGGAGAGAGGCCTCCAGTCTAGAAGGAAATGGTTAAGACACGCGGGCCCTGGTGCTTTGATGCCAGTGCCAGCAAACACGGGCTGAAATGCAGAGTTAAGTGGGGTTTCCTGGTCAGTGCAGCTCCAGCCTGCCCGCCCCAGGCAGCCCTGCCTCTGAAGCCGAGGGCACCTCTCGTCGCAAGGGTGCGGAGAAAACACTCTGCCAGGCCCTGAGGTGCCCGCAGACCCACCCCCACTTCTGGGTTCTTCGTCCGTTGCCCAGCTTTGTTCTGTGCCCGCTCTGCCCCCTCAGGTCCTCTGGCCCCTCTTCCTCTGCTTTTCTGGGGGACAAGCCAGGAAGGCCTGGAAGGAGGGAACCCAGCATCCCAAGGGAAGGGCTGCTCTGGATGACCTCTGACCTCTGACCTTGTGTGATGTCACAGGGGACACTTAGCAACGGGGGCCCACTGGGCACACTCTTGGGCTGCTCGCCTCGGAAGGGGTTGGAAGCCATGCCCTCCACCTGAAGCCGTGCTGGAGAGCCGGGCCCCTCTTCTTTCCTGAGACCTGAAGGGAGGAGAAGGATGGAGAAGGAGGCCACCACCGTGTACAGGAGGCACCGGCCAGGCGCTGGGGCTCCTCCTTTGGGGGTGGCCACCGGACACCCCAAGGGGACCAGTGAGGGGGCTGAACTGCAGAGGAGCCAGAGCATGGGCAGCTTACACCAGAAGGGGGACCCCCCGAGCGGCATCCAGAAGCCGTCCAAGGACCTAGGTAGGGGCCGCAGCCAGCACAGAGCACCTCTGCCCGGCCGCCTCCACTGCCCCTGCCCCCACCCTGAGGGCCAGGGTGGGGGCACTGCACACTGAGGCTGTCAGGCAACACGATCCGCTGGGGCTCGGGTCAGGCCCACATGAGTGTCGGCACCCAGGGTGGGTGGCCAACTGGATGAAGGGGGTGAGGACCCACCAGGCCTCGGGGAGCCCTGTGGGCCTGCAAAGCTGTCAGACACATGGAGAACACCATGGCCTCAGGAGGGCTGGCGCGGGCAGTGTCTCAGGTTGTACCCTGGAATCTGAGTCTAGCTCTGTCTCATTCAGGGAACCACAGCGCCTCCTGGGGCCTGGGGTTGGCCCTGACCCTGTGGGGGAGGGTACTGCCCGTCAGGCTTGGCACTAAGGTGGCCTTTAAATGATAAAGTCTGTAGGTTTATGCCTTATGCTGGCTGTGTTAGCCACTCCAGGATATTCGTAAACATGCCAAGCGCGGCCATGGTGTGGTGGAAGTGGGGATGGGTCCCGAAACACCCTGGTCCGTATGTGGACCTGCATCCTGAATGTTAGCTAACCCAGCCCCTCTCCCCGCGCCCCCCCCCCCACCCGGCTCCTCATGACACTGTCCCCAGAGCAACAGGATCTGAGCTGGTGGGAGGACGCCAGGGACTGAGAGTCATGTGCTGGTTCTCCTGGGACCCTCCCGCCAGCAGGTGGCCTTTGATGAGTAGGCTGAAGAAATGAAACTGTAAAAGGGAAATATAGCTGCTTGTTCACGCTCTAGGGGCGACTGTAAGAGGTCGGGGTGTGAACATATTTCTTCTCTAGTGTCAAAGTCCAAAGGTGTGTGGTTTGAGGAGAGAGGAGCTGCTGGACCCTCCACCTCCCTCCCGTTCAGGCTCTGAGCATGGCCACACTTTCTCGCTCAAGAAGATCTAAGTTCCCAAAAGAGGAGGCCAGCCTGAGTCTGTGTGGGAAATTTTGCAAGTAGACCCAGGGGGCTCTCCAATAACGCCGGCCATGGAGGGGTGGCCAAAAGGCTTCCGCGGGGCTTGTGGTCCCGCCACCCAGGCCCCAGGGTCCCAGGCCACACAGGGTCTCGGCTTCCCGGAGCCCCAGCCTGAGGGTGCAGAGCGGGAGCCTCACCAGCCACACGCCAGGGAGGCGGCTCAAAGCCTTGTCCACGTCTTAAAATGAGGGAAAGAGAAATAGTGTCTCTCTCTTTACTGATTCTTTTTTTAAAAAATATATATTTTTATTGATTTTAGAGAGGAAGGGAGAGGCAGAGAGAGAGAGAAATATCAATGATGAAAGAGAATGATTGATTGGCAGCCTCTTGCATGCCCCCTACTGGGGACCGAACCCATAACCTGGGCATGTGCCCTTGACTGGGATCAAACCTGGGGCCCTTCAGTCCACAGGCCAATGCTCTATCCATTGAGCCAAACTGTCTAGGGCAGTGGTTCTCAACCTTCTGGCCCTTTAAATACAGTTCCTCATGTTGTGACCCAACTATAAAATTATTTTCGTTGCTACTTCGTAACTGTAATGTTGCTACTGTTATGAATCGTAATGTAAATATTTGATATGCAGGATGGTCTTCGGAGACCCCTGTGAAAGGGTCGTTCGACCGCCAAAGGGATCGCGACCCACAGGTTGAGAACCGCTGGTCTAGGGCATGACTCTTTTTGCCAGATACATAATAGGAAGAAAAAGTATTTGAAGATCTGTCTGGGCAGCCCCATGTCTTCTACTGATTTTTTTTTTTTTTTTTGAGGGAGGGAGGGAGAGAGAGAGAGAGAGAGAGAGAGAGAGAGAGAGAGAGAGAGGAAGGTAGAGGGATAGAGAGTTAGAAACATCAATGAGAGAGAAACATCATTGAGTGGCTACCTCCAGCATGCCCCCTAACAGGGGTCAAACCTTCAACCTAGGCATGTGCCCTGACTGGGAATTGAACCATGACCTCCTGGTTCATGGGTTGATTCTAACCATCAGGCCACATTGGCCGGGCAGCCCCTTGTCTTCTAAAACAGGCACATACAAAGCACATGCACGTGCACACACATGCACGTGCACGGGCCCATGGGCTACTAAAGAGTTTCCAAAAGGAGTCAGTTTCTAAATCCCAGCTTAAACACCACTGACCGTGAAGCAGCCCTCTTACCTGAGGTGGAGGCTGCATGCTCCTTTTCTCCCCGAGGGATGTCTTGAGAGCTACCCTGGTCCCCCTTGTCCACGGAGGATACGTGCCAAGACCCCCAGTGGACACCTGAAACCACGGATAGTATTGAACACTAGGTTTGCTATGTGTTCTCCTCCATGTACACACCTTTTCCCTGGAAGGAAGCACTTGACAGCTTCTCTTTGGCCTAGCAGAATGGCCGGGACCACCTCTCATGTGCTTTGGGGCCATCTATACTAATAAAAGAGAAAGATGCAAATTGACCATACCTTTGCAATGGCCACCAGCCAATCAGGAGCAAGTATGCAAATTAACCCAACAAAGATGGCAGGTTACTTGGCATACGCAGGCGCTGAGCAGCCGGGGGCGGGGCAGGATGCTTGCGCCGTCGCCATGGCAATGACACAGGCATTCTGCACTGCTCCAGCCACTCCAGGCCTCTGGGAAGCATGGGAAGGCGGAAAGGTGGCTCCAGGCTGAAGCAAAGGCGGAAAGGCGGCTCCAGGTGGTGCCAGCAGCCAGGGGAAGGAAGGCCCATTCTTGCACGAATCTTCGTGCATCGGGCCTCTAGTTATTAATAAGATAAGAGTTACTCAAACACAAGCCTGGGGATACCACACAGCGGCTCTGACAACCAGGGTGGCTGCCCAGCGACTAACCGGCAGACAGCGTACACACGTGGGTGCGCTGGACCAAAGGACGATTCACATCCCGGGCAGGAGGGAGCAGGACAGTGAGAGGTTTCCTCACGCAACTCAGAATGGCTCACAATGAGAACGTATTAATTATTTCTGACACTTTCCATTTCATATTTTCAGACTACAGGAGACCTCAGAACTGAAACTGCGTGTAAGTGGGACTACTGTCCCAAGTCCAAAAATATTCCCTGAGGACCCAGTTGTGCTCCCTCTCATATCCCTGTCCGTGGCCTTCAGGGCTGTTTGTCCCTGGCGTGGCCAGTGTCTGCGTGGGGTCAGCACAGCCACAGATCAGGCCCCTGAGCCTGTGCGGGCATGAAGAATGAGGAGGATGAAGAACGCCTAGCTCGTATCCACAGGGAACTCAGAGCAGTGGGAGACAATGCTGGGTGACACAGCCCGAGGCCACCTGTGCTCAGCACTAGGAAGGCCCGGCTGTGATGAAAAGCTCCCTTTACAGCGGGTCGCTGAGCACTGGGCAGGGGCACCCAGGTCCCAGGAAGGGTGGCCTTAGAAGATGGCAGGGCTCAGGAGAGAGGTGTCAGGGGAAGACCAGATGAGAGAAGGCAAGGACCAGCCGATCAGACTCCTTAGAACAGCAGGATCAGGGTGCAGGGCACCCACTGGGAACTGGGCCGTCACCTCCTCTCTTGGGCAGTCATCCCAGCCCCGAGGCCTGTGAGCCAAAACAACCCTGAGTACAAGGCCTGGAGTAGCTGATCCCACAACCAGATTCTGTAAAGCGATTCTCCAAGATGGGAGCTGCTCAGAGGTGCCCTGGCTATGTCTTCCATCAACAGCAGTACTTAAAGCTTTGGAACGCCCCCAGGCTGTGCTTGCATCAGGGCCCTTGGTGTGGGGGGCAGGGAGGGGGGACCAAGCTGCTTGTGGGAGGAGCCACTACTCAGGGAGCGCCTCAACCCTCCCAGGCTCAGAGGGGACTGCACAGAAACGGAACTTTCAATGTCGCGACCTTGAGTCCCCCCGGAGGCTCGCTCAGGCCCTGAAGAGGGTCAGGGAACCCCTCCTGCATAACTGCTCCGAGGCTCTCCTGGCCGACAAGCCTGGCAGCGAGAGGTATCTGTCCTGGTGAAAACAGTTCACGAAGCTCATGCTCTGATCCTGCCAAAGTCACCAAAACTCAGCTTTACCTTAATTATCTCCTGACAATCGCTCTGCATGTGAGGCTGCGGCTGGAAGAACAGCTCCCTGGATGCCGGGCAGATTCTCAGGCTACTGAGTGCACTGGACAAAGATCCCGACTAGCTGGGCCTCGGGCAGCACTTTCCTTGGGAAAATGACACAGGAACCCCCCTGGCCAGGCCCTTCCGAGGAGGAACAAGGAGAGGAGGTTCCTGAACAAGCCGTGTGTGTCTCAAGTGCCACCCACTGTGGGACAGGCTTGCCCAGTGGGTCGCCGCCCCTGCCCTCCACTCCTGCTGCTCCCAGTCAGTGTGCTGCGTGGGAGGATGTCAGGGCTGCCCGGGGGTCCTGCACATCTAATGTAAAGACAGTGCTTTAGCTTCACCCGAGCTCTGCCTAGAGAGGCAGAGATGGTGTGGGGTGGGGCCTTGTGCAGAGTGGGTGTCGTCGGGGCAGGGAATCGGGAGACAACCTGTCAGGATAAAAACTCAGGCTGGCCTTAGTCATAACCATTAGTCACCAGGCGGACACTGGAGCTGCAGGGAGCCCAGCACCCCATGGGCTGGCCCCACCCTCGCAGGGCTGAGCTGTGGGCCTCGGGCAGCTGGCCAGCGGCGCTCCTGCACCACATGGTGGGAGTGTCTGACAACTTGCTCCTTCCTCCTCAGAGTCTGAAGATCAGGGAAAGGACCTGAAAAGCCACGCCGAAGACCCCGTCTGGTAAGTGGGCTTAAGACTTGGAGGCCCTGAAGGAGCCCTGGGCGTCCTGAGAGGACCCCGGGGGTTCAGATGGGAGGGTCTGAGGCTGGGGGAACCAGGGTGGTTCTCAGGGCTGCAAGCCCCTCCGCTCCCCTACGCCCTCCAACTACAGCTGTGCGGTGGCCCCGGAGTCCTGGAGCTGGCACCTGTCCCCAGAAAAGGAGTAGCGTCATCCCAGGTGGCGGGGCCGGCGGAGGCTCACGCTGGGGAAGGTCTGGGTGTGCAGGAGGGAGGACAGGAGCAACCTGAGCGTTACTGCTCATCCTCTGCACATCGCCCTCCCCTCCTGTCTGACGTGTCTGCCCACCCGCCTTCTGCCCTCAGGAAGGAGGCAGGCCATGCACACGCAGGCCCCTCTCTGCCTCCCTGTCCAGGCTGGAGCTGCTCCCAGAGCTGCCGATGCCCAAGAGGGAGAAAGGCGTCACCGGGAAGCTGTCTCCATGACACCGATTCCAAACTCTCATTTCCACTCCTACAGTCAGGCAACCCTAGTGGAAGACAAGCAGGAGAAGAACCAAGATGCCCTTGGGAAGCTGGACCATGGGAGTGGAAAGCTGGACCATGGGAGTGGAAAGCTGGACCATGGGAGTGGAAAGCTGGAGGTTGAGAAGAGCGACTCAGAGGCCAGCGACCAGGAGGAGCATGAAGAAGACGAGCACACAAACAAATGCTCCCAGGAGGCCAAGGTCAGGCCGTGGTCCTTTAACATCCATGTACTGCTGTCCCCTCGGGTCAGAGTCCTGCCTTTATGCACCTGTTTGGTGTCTTCTTACAGGAACAGGAGTTGGAGTCCCTAAAGCCGGAAGACCTTCTGGAAAAAGAGGCAAGAGCTGTTTAATTTGGTGACAGCAGTCTGATGGAGAGGCCTATCAGGCATAGTCCTGCTGGACCATGAGCGCCCTGGGGACATGTGGTCCCAAGTCATCTAGGCAGGACCATGGTACAGGCTGGACCAAGCCTTGCCCTGACCCCAGAGAGCATTTCAGGTCAAGCTCTGTGCTCTTGCCCTCATGCTGGGGCATCCTAATTCCAAATAGTGCAATGTCTAAAGGCATGTGGGTCCTTGACAGGAGGCAATACTCAGCTTGACTAGGGAAACACCCCGAGTCCCAGGTCCTGGTGCGTTGGCCAGAGACATGTCAGTGCTATAGTAGCAATTGGCACAGGGCACTTTCTCAGGGAAGGTGGCTGTCATTCTCATTCCTAATCCGTGTGGTAGGGAATGGAGAGGTAGTTGGATGCGTTTTACCAGGATTTACAACAGATGGTCCTTGGAGTGACTCAGGGGTTCTGGGGAGTCCTTCACCCACCCCCAATACTTCCCTTGGTGTTGATTAAAGTGCTACCATTGGAAACACATTCTGGACTGAGCCAAGGTGCCAATAAGAGACCCTGGGGCAACAACACCTGAGCTGCCTGGGCTTCTCACACCTCAGTGCAAGCCTTCTTAACTGGGTAAAGTGGGGTCCCAGGTAGGTTTCTGGAGGCAGAATTAAAGGTGCTTCCCAGTTGAGCAGGTCTGAAGTGGGCTTGGAGGGGCTGCTCCAGATCTGGACATCGCCTGTCTCCTGGAGGCCCTGGTTCTCAGAGGGCAAAGGTGGGAGAAACCCTCTGGGTCTCAGGGCCTTGGTGGGAGGTGAGCAGGGAGCTGTGGGAAGGCCATATTCCTCCCCCTCCCTCCTCTGCCAGAGATGGCCCATGGACACCTTGCCATCCACACTGCCAGCAGCTCTCTCCCCAGCTTCTCAGGAGCCCCCACTGAGCACTGTCAGTGTCTGGTGGTCCCAGTGGTCATTGCTCAGACCCTGACTGGGGGTCAGGAGTCCACTCTACCTCCCAGAAAGTCTATTCACCTCCCTAGCTTATGCAAGTCTTTCTTCCACATCTCTTTGGTTTTCATTCACAGAAACCATCTATGTTTGTGGAGATTGATCTGGGAGACCATGCTGAAGAGGTAAAAACCCTTCACACAACAGAGCCAAACTACCCACCAGGAAATGCTTGTGCTCAGGCCCACAAAGCTTTTCTGGGGAACTTGCCCCGTGTACGTGTGTGTTAAAGGCTGAGGCAAAGATAGGGACAGAAGCATCAAGAAAGCTCCAGGGTGTTGAGGACTGGTCTAGGGGGCTGGAGGCCCCCCCTCCTCTTTCTCATCCTCCTTCACTCTAACCTGTATGCATTCCAACACTCTAGGGCCTGGGTCAACCATTGGGGTGCCCATGGGCCCTGAGAACCTCTTGTGGGATCATTCTGGGGTGTTAGAAAGGGCACAAACTTAGGAATTAGGAGGCCTGGGCTCCATATCCAGCTCTGCCAGTAAATGCTCAAACAAGTCACTATACCTCTCTGGGCCTCAGTTGTCTCATATGTCAAAGGGGTATCTTAGTAGTACCCACATCCCAGGGTGGTTCTATAAAGCCCTCAAACAGCGTCTACTACCCAGAAAGCCTCAGTATTAGGTATCATCATCTAACCACCTAAGGAATCTGGCCCGATCTTTGCTTTGAGCCCCACCTTACTCCACCACCACCACCATCATCAGTATCATAACTATCATCATCATCACCATCATCACCATCATCAATATCATCACTATCATTATCATCACCATCATCACCACCATCATCACCATTATTACATCATCACCACTATCACCATCATGTTCAGCAGTATCATCATCACCATCATCATCACCATCATTTTCTGTAAGGAGAAGAGTTTGAGTCAAAGGTCTCTCTAGGATGTCTTTTCCATTTTTCTGCTGTAGTGAGCAGTCATGCTTGTAGATATTTTTGTCTTGGCCAATTTAAGCTCCAGCCTGAGGGTTATTTTTTTCCCAAATTGCACCTTTTATCTCTTTGCCCTCAGAACACGCTGTACAACGAAGAGAGCTGATTAACTCCTGACAAGGCTACCATGGGGCACCACATGCTCTAAGGACTCAAGGAGGCAGAGTGGAGACTAAGGGCCCACGTATCCTGATCTACAATCTAGAAATCATGGTGGCCCGTATCCAGGCCACAGCTCCTTGGTCAGGGCCCCGTAATTAGAACTCTCCACTTGAGGCTCCCAGTCTTGTGGGATTGTGCTCAGGGCCAGTGCAGTCTTCGCATCTCCATCTGCTCCTCGGGCAGGCCCAGCATGTCCGGCCCGGGGCCTGTGGTTGACCCCCTCCCCCACCCCATCCCCTAAAGTGCTTCTGCTGCTCCTCGCAGGTGGTCACATGTGCCATGAGAGAAGAGAAGTGGTCCCAAATGGACATGGGAGATTTGTCAGAAGATGAGTGAGTATTGGGCTCATGCTCGGGGAGGTGGGGAGACTGTTCGTCTACCCCGGTTTCTAGTGGGTCCACTGTGCCTCCCCTCTTCCTCTAGAGCAGTGACGGCGAACCTTTTGAGCTCGGCGTGTCAGCATTTTGAAAAACCCTAACTTAACTCTGGTGCCGTGTCACATATAGAATTTTTTTGATATTTGTAACCATAGTAAAACAAAGACTTATGTTTTTGATATTTATTTTATATATTTAAATGCCATTTAACAAAGAAAAATCAACCAGAAAAATGAGTTCGCGTGTCACCTCTGACACACGTGTCATAGGTTCGCCATCACTGCTCTAGATGCACGCAGTGTCCTAAGCATTTGCCGAGGCTGGGGGTGCTGAGAGCTGGGCAACAGGGCATCGAACCTTCTGCAGTGGTTCTCAACCTTCCTAATGCCACAACCCTTAATACATTCCTCATGTTGTGGTGACCCCCAACCATAAAATTATTTTCGTTGCTACTTCACCACTGTCATTTTGCTACTGTTATGAATCGTAATGGAAATATCTGATATGCAGGATGTATTTTCAGGGGTCGAGACCCACAGGTTGAGAACCGCTGTAAGGGATCTGGCACAACCTTTGCTTTGAGTCCCGCCTTACTCCATAGCCAGACTCTCTCTTCCCATCCAATCAAGCAACAAAATGGGCAGAACCGGGGGAAGGAAAAAGAAGGGAAGAAGGGCAGATGAGAGTAGGATATCACCTCATGGGCTACAAAAGCTCACACACCTTGGTCCTGCCGGCAGTGGGAGGACCCCTCACATGTGTCCTGACCACCCACACTCTACTGGGGTGAAGATTGTGTAGGGCCATTGAAGTCCCACCACTTCCCGAGGCCATTAAGGGTGCTGGGAGAAGGTGGGGTACTTACTTCTAGGCCACCCAAGGGCCCACGGACCTATTTTATTTTAAACAATACAGAGAAGAACACAAGGAAGAAAAGAGCAATGTATTCACCGCTCAGAATGAACAACTATATTAATATCTTGGTTTAATTGTTTGCATACTTTCAAAAAATTTCCATTTGCTTTGTAAAACTGACACACGGTTATTTTAAACAACTTAAATAAGGTGGAATAGCACAACAAAGAGGAAATCACCCAAGTTTCTCTCTCAGGAACAGTGAGGACCACACAGGATTTTGAAGTGTAGATTCGGACCTGGTTTTGAAGTGCAGATTTCTGACGCACAGACAGGCGCTGGTGAAAATTGGCTCCTGGTGAAAATGGGCTCCTCCATCGGTGCCATTTTCCTGGATCGCCAGCTCTGAATGCTTCTAGCATTATGGCCCTTCGCCTATTTGGCTGTTGTCATTATTGCCGCTTTCTGCCCAGATGTGTGTGTATTCGGGGAGAGTGTTTCTGTGAGGCATTTTGATTCCGTCTTCACTCAGACGACCCACCTCTCTTCTGATCTCGACTTACCCAGCTGGTCACGTTGGCTTTTATGACGTGAAAGATTTTGGGATGGTCTTGTCACGCTCTCAAATCTAGGCCTAAAATAAGCAGTCTTTTCCTAAGCAGACCTTTATTTTCCTCTTCGCTACTTAATGGACATAGTGACAGATTCAGCCACACTAGGTGCAGCTTGGCAGCTTTATTTTCTGCCCCGAAGGTCGGACAATCCCAGGTCCACCCTCCTGGTCTCTGGGTCTCGGCCCATCACCCCCAGGACCCAGCTGCCCCAGGAAACCTGTGAGGCAGGCCAGCACTCAAAAAGCAAGCTGTGGCCACCGGAGGCCTCTAGGCCAGTGGGAGGGGGTCTGCAGTGGGCCCCCTGGAGGGCTAGGCCTGGACACTTGCTGGGCAAGTCGCCTGTTTGTTCTGCTGTGCTGCTCACCTGCAAGCTCAGTTCCCCTCAGAGCAAAAGGCTTCTCTGTCCAGCCTGTGCCTCGGGCCCGCTCAGATGGTGGGGTCAGGTACCCTCAGTAGCCCATAGCAGCCAGCGGGACATATGGGCACCAAGCCATGGTGGTTCCTGCCAAGGGAGGGGGGCTGCCATCTCATACTGAGGCAGCCTTGGAAGTGGAAACCCCAGCGACCACCCCACAGCGAGGCAAGCACAGGCTGGGCTGGCCGTGGGAACCACCCCTGTGACACCTGGCTCAGCTAGTCTTTAAGGGTCTCTCGAGTCCATGGGTCCCTCCTGGCCCAGGCCTTCCAGGACAGAGGACAGCAGCCGTGGTGGTGGGCGGGTAAACCTCGAGCATCTGGAGGAAAGGCAAGCCTGGCTCTGCACTGGAATCTGCTTTTGTGCGCGGGGCCCGGAAGCCACAGAGACAAGACCTTGGCTCCCCGGGACATGAGCAGTGGAGTGCAGTAGAGATTGGAGCAGAGACCCCGTGGCGTGCATTTGGGGTTCAAGGGGTGTTGCCAGTACCTGTGGCCCGGGGCCTGTCTCTCTCTCAGCCCCTCCCCTCCTCTCGGCCGCCAGGACCAGGACCAGCTGGGTGTGCTGCATTCCATACTCCACCAGAAAGAAGGTGAAGGAGAGTGTGTAGCGGCCCTGGAGAAGGTACTTTGCACATGGTGACAGGGGTGAACCGGGGGAGTCTGGGGGGGACAGGAAGTAGAATAGAGGGGGCCGGGTTGCCTGCCTGCCCTCCCCCCAGCTTCCTTGGTTCCCCTCAGCACCCACTCCTTCTTTCTGGCCGGTAACCGAGGGTCTCCACTTCTGTCTCCTGAGGTCGGCCAGGAGATGCAGAGGGACGCAGACAAGCAGCCCTGAAACCCCCACAGGAACCTGTTTGAAGGGCACCAATGACGCGCGTGTGAATCACTGACCCACTGGGTGAGCCATGATGCCATCTTTTAAAAAGACACAATAAAGAGTGAACAAAGACGTTCTCCCTCTTCCGCTGCCCTCGGTAGATCCCCCTTCCTTCCTTCTGTGCATCTTGTTCCATGAAATATAAATGGGGAAAGGGAGGTGGGCTCAGGGAGATGGCACGATGCTGGGCTCGGGGAGATGGCAAGATGCTGGGCTCAGGGAGGCGGCATGAAGCCCGGGCTTCTCAGGCCATGGGCACACAACCCTTCAGATCCTAGGAAACCTCATAAACAAAGTCAGACCCACAGTCAGTCCCAGATTACCTGGGGGCTCAGAGACAGCCTGAATCAGGGAGCTGAGATGCTACCCCAGAGATGAGCTCTCCTGGGCGGGGCTGTGGGGCTGCCCTGACAAATGAGCAGATGACAGAATAGGCCACTGTGCTGAGGGCTCATCACACATCGAGGCTGGGCTCTGCTGCTCATCCCCCTGGACTAGGAGAAGCAGGCAAGTACCGTGTCACAGCCCCTGTCCCTGCGCCTGACCACCAACTGCTGCCAACTAGAAAGGCACCGAGGAACGTTCCAAGAAACCATTGTTTGTCCCCTGGCTGGTGTGCAAGTGAGAGGAGGAGATTCTGGAGGGAAGGAGGGGTGGGCTAAGCAGGGCTCTGAGCCCTCGCCACAGAGCAGCATGGGCCCGAGTTCTTTCCCTGGTTCCTCTGCACCTGGCACTGTGCCACAGGCCAGGAAGGTGCCTGGCCCCAGGTCACCCTTTCCCGTTTGTCCATCATCCATCCCTTGCCACTGGATGTAGCTGTCCTCATTCTGAGCCACGTGCAGCTCGTGCTTGCACAGTGTGGCTAGTTTGGCAGTTTTGTTCGCTACTTCAAATCAGAAGCATGTTTCACTGTTCATTGGGCCTCGTCCATGCTATCTGGGGGTGTCTGCTGGGAGAGTGAGTCCAGGGTGACAGCCTAGAGCCGTGGTTGGCAAACCGTGGCTTGCGAGCCACATTCGGCTCTTTGGCCCCTTGAGTGTGGGTCTTCCACAGAATACAACGTGTGGGCGTGCATGTACAGGGCGATTGAAACTTCGTGGCCCATGCACAGAAGTTGTTATTTTCTGTAAGAACTGGTATTTTGTGGAAGAGCCACACTCAAGGGGCCAAAGAGCCGCATGTGGCTCGCGAGCCGCGGTTTGCCGAGCCGCAGTTTGCCGACCACTGGCCTAGAGCAGTGGTTCTCAACCTTCCTAATGCCGCGACCCTTTAATACAGTTCCTCATGTTGTGGTGACCCCCAATTTCATTGTTACAAATTGCACATAATTAAAGCATAGTGATTAATCACAAAAACAATATGTAATTATATATGTGTTTTCCGATGGTCTTCGGCGACCCCTGTGAAAGGGTCATTCGACCCCCAAAGGGGTCACGACCCACAGGTTGAGAACCGCTGCTCTAGATACATATGGAGAGAGCTATATATGGAGATAAATATCGCTTTTTAACAAAATGGGCACCCTATAGTACCACAGTTTGTTAAAACATGTTTTTATTCTGTCACAAGCATATTCCCCACTGTCATCCATGAATGTTTATTGAACTCCTACCATGGGCCAGGCACTGTTCTAAACACTAGGGGCACGGCAGTGATGGAAGCAGACGCCTGGCCCCTCGGCGCTTCCGTTCCCCTGGGGGAGACAGATACTGCACATCCAGTGCCTCTGAATTCATCGGCACGCAGTGCCCTCAAAGTTAGCTACACCCCTTTGAAAAGTGACGTTCAACGCTGCCCCACCCCAAGGCCCGGAGCACCATGCCTCCTAGACGGCAGGCGGATCAGCGAGGTGTGGAAATGTTGCACAGTGGGCGGCACTGAGTGGAGGAGGGCAAGGGGGTGGGGGTGGACATCTGTAACAGTGTCAACAACTTTTACAAAAAAGGAAAAGAAAATGTTGCTCCATGGGCCCAGGTGATGTAGGGGCTGCACAGAAAGAATGAAATGCCAGGGGCCATGAGACTGTGCCAGTGGCAAATGCTTGGAGCATTTTGTGTGTTTTAATTCTACAACCTACTAAGACGGGCCCTAGTATCATACCTATTTTGTAGTGGAGAAAGTGGGGTGCATAGCAAGCAGCAGGGTTTCTGAGTGTTGAGAGGGAGGCATGAGGCGCTCTAGGGGATGCTGGTCAATAGCAGGGCACCCCACTGGCCACTGCCTTCAGAGGTCGCTGTCCCAGGGCACCAACCTACACATGCTGTTGCTGCTACTGCTGCTTATTTCTAGTCTTTTCCTGCAGCTTCCAAGGAAAGCAATACAAAAGGGGATGCAGCAACCACCACCCCCCCCCCCCCCGCCCCCACTTTCTGGAAACCCTGCAGAGACGGACAGCAGCGCTTGCCTAGCTGCGCCCCCTGGTGGTGGGTTCAGGGCAGCACCCTCACAACCTCTCTTTCGGTCTGGAAGTCACCATCTGAAATCTTTCACCAAGAGGAGGCAGCATGAGGCTTCATCACTCTTACAGAATTTTACCTCTCATCTAATTATTCACTAAAGGAGAGGCTAGACTCTAAATTCACTGTTGCCCGTCAGTTGGTGGGCAGGGTTGGGGGACTTGACCCAGGTTCTGGGTGCACCCGGTGCCCCAGCCGGACCATGAACTCTGTAGAACAGACATCTCCCTGGCATCTCTATCCAGAGTCTCCTGGGTACCTCCCGAGGCTGGACAAAGCTTGGCTTGGTTGGAAACTCACTCTCCAAATAGATCCCTCCCACCAGGACCTGAGATATTCCACTCCACAAGACAAACACTCCCTTGAACTGCTGACATCCTAAGGCTGCTGTGAGCCTGGTGTCATGGATGGTCCCAGCCCCCAGTGATGTTGGGGCACCGAGGGCCTGCCTTGGAGAAGGACCGTGGCTGAGTAAGGCTGGCCTGGCCAGGGCATGCAGTGGATTCCATTCTGGGGCTGCTGTGGTCGGAGCTGATGGGCCTCCAATAGCAGCTCAAACTGAGAGTGTCTGGGACCAGCCCAGGCCTGGGCGGTAAGGAAGGTACTCCTGTGTCTTGCTTTTTCTTCCCCTGCCCTGTGAGACCATTGTCCCTTTCCAGATGCCACCTGCCTGAGTATTCCATCCGTGTGCCCTGGGAGAAGGGACAGGGGAGGAGGGGCAACCAGGGGGCAAGAGAGAGGGAGACCCCTGTGCTAGACCGGGGAGGTCTTCCAGGTACTGACTTCTCCAGTATGTAAAAGTCAACAAGACAGGTATGTGGGCTGGGCTGCAGGAACCCTAGTTAGGACTGGTTAGACCAGCGGTTTTCAACCTGTGGGTCGCGACCCCTTTGGCGGTGGAACGACCCTTTCACAGGGGTCGCCTAAGACCATCCTGCATATCAGATATTTCCATTACGATTCATAACAGTAGCAACATTACAGTTATGAAGTAGCAACAAAAATAATTTTATGGTTGGGTCACAACATGAGGAACTGTATTTAAAGGGCCAGAAGGTTGAGAACCACTGGGCTAGACTCACCCAGGACCTCCCACCTAACTGCATTGACTTGTGACAGGTTTTCAGGAAAGGGTGACAGACACAAAGCAGGGCGGTTGCCTCCTGTCAGCTCCTTTTGGGTCAAGCAGGACTCAGTCGCGCCCAGGACCCAGCCAGGGTGTGTGGTCTGAGGGCAAAGTTATTTCTTTCCTGACGAACGTGACTGTGTAGATCAGGGCCTTCCTCCAGGATCGGGGCCTGGCACTCTGTGGAGCAGGACATAGATGGGTTCCATTCTGACAAAGCCTTGAGACTTAGGCAGAGAATGGATGGACCCATTCTACAGATGAGAAAACTAAGGTGCACAGAGGCAGAGAGCCAGGTACCGAGGATGCCTGGTCACAGTCCTTATTCTGCTCCCAGGGGGCTGGGAGCCCTGGCCCACGCTACAAGACCTTCCACCCAGCTGGGCCAGACACTCCCGCCGGCCTCCAGTCCCCCATCTTTGCCAGTGGGGACCTGACCTAGGCAGGTTCCTGCATGACTCTGTCCCCACGTGCCGTCCATCAAAAATACCCAATATCCCTTTTCTCCACCTGCACTGCTTCCTCCACCCTGAAGCCACCCCATGGACCTCTGGGAAATCAGTTGTCATTCTGAGTGCCTTCCTGGGTCATGTCAGCACACTCCAGGTGGCAAGGGTACTTGGTCGCAGTCCTCCACCCCTCCCCACAGGAACCATTCTGTCGTCCAGGATGCCAGCTGTCCCTCACATTCCAGCTACAGGAAACCCCCATCTAAGACGGCCCCCTGGATGCTGTCGGGTCACCATCTTATTTACTGTGAAGCAACTTCACAGCTGTCCAGCTGTCAGGAGATGGGTTTCTGTCCTGCGATCCTCCTGCTGCAGATGCCAGCAGCCCTGCGTGTGGGGGACCTTCCACGATGACCTGTGGGAGGGAGGGGGCGAGGAGGAGGGGTGTGGGCTCTTGCCTTGATGTCCTCAAACCCCAGCCTCTGCAACCTCGTGAAGGGAATTCCTCAGTTGGCACCCCAAGAGTCTGGGCAGGGTGAGAGCAGAATTCCTGCTGGGAAGACCCCCAACCCTGCAAATATCTGGCCTGGGGAATTGCCCAGGAAGGAATTGGCTTGGTCAGGCCAACCACACACAATGCCCAGAGGAGGAGCCATTGGAACACCCCCAGGCCAGGCCACAAACCCCAGCGGCCAGTCAGAACTTACCACGTGTGCCCGTCCGCCCGCCAAGAATGCCTGGCTCCTCCGCTTGGTTTTGGGCTGCCTCCCCTGCTTGGGCCTCCGAGGACTGACCCGGGGTTTCTGCGTGAGGTCCCGGTGCTGTTTACTCTCCGAGGCGGTACTGGGAATGCCGACCCCCCAAGTCCCAGGGAGGAGGGGAGGGAGGACGCGGGCACAAGGAGGCTTCTCTGCCTCCAGGCCGGGTCGTGACATTTCATAACACTCTGTTTTCCTCACCCTCTGATCCAATTCTGGGCTGCGGGACACAGCCTCCCAGCGCAAGACCTGCCCCTTGGCGCCCAGATGATCCTGTTACAGCCTGGGCTCCAGCCTCTGTTTGGCATGGTTTTTCTAAGTAAATAATTGGGAAATAAATGTGATTTCTCTGGTTTGTTAGATGCCCACATGTCTGTTGCAGCAGCTGCTTTTGTTTGTAAAATGCAAACCAATATTCAACTCAGAGGCATGTGATCGCCTTGGGGTCACTTAAGCTTTCCGAGGCCAAGGGTCCCTGGTGCCCCCTGGTAAATGCCCCAGTCAGAGGT